CTGATGCCAAAACCAGAGAAAGACCCCGCAAAAAAGAGAACTATAGGCCAATTTCCCTAATGAACATAGATGCAATAATCTTCAATAAAATACTAGCAAACAAATGAAGCAAACCATCAAGAAGATTATATACATCATGAAGAGGTGAGATTTATGCCAGGAAGCAGGAATGGTTCAATATACACAAATCCATAAATGCAATATACCATATCAACAGAGCCAAAAACAAAAATCATATGATCATCTCAATAGAAGGACAAAAAGCTTTTGACAAAGCCCAACATTCATCCATGATAAAAACTTACAGAAAATTGGAATAGACGGACTTTACCTCAACCTGATAAAAGCCATCTATGACAAGCCAAAAGCCAACATCATACTAAATGGACAAAAGTTGAAGGCCTTCACTTTAAAATCAGGAACAAGACAAAAATGGCCACTGTCTCCACTCTTATTCAACATAGTTCTGTAAACATTAGCCAGAACAATTAGACAAGAAAGAGAAATAAAAGGAATAATGATCAGAAAGGAGAAAATGAAATTATCATTGTTTGCAGATGACATAATATTCTACATAAAGGACCCTAAAAACTCCACCAATAGACTTATAGATTTAATAACCAAATTCAGTAGTATAGCAGGATACATAGTGAACACTCAAAAATCAAGAGAATTCTATACACAAATAATAAATGCACTGACAGAGAAATTATAGAAACCACACCTTTCACAATAACACCCCCAAAAAATCAAATAATTAGGAATCAATCTCACAAAGTAAGTAAATGATATACACCATGAAATATTACTCAACTATAAAAAAGATATATTTGAGGATTTTATAGGTGAATGGATACAACTAGAGACTGCACTGGTAAGGGAAATAAATCAGACCCACATGTGCAAACATCGTATTGTGTCACTAGTGTGAGAACCTGAAAGTTTAAATAAAATCTGAAAGGTACAATAGATACTCTGAAAGCGAAAAGGTCTGCTCATGGGAAAGAAGAACTGGGATGAGGAGAAGGATCAAATAAAGAGGGGGAAAAGATACATTTATGTATATATGCAGGATAGCTTGGATAATTCTACTCCTGATTTCTGCTGGTCTGTTGAAAGGAGCAGTTAATTTTTTTTTTCTTTTCCTTTTGAACTTCCTATAACTTCTTTTAAACTAAAATTGCAGGTTTATCGAAGTACAAGAAGTAAAGCCATGTTGTTATGTTGAGCTGTGGGGGACTCAAGTCAACAATTTCTGACATTGCCAGTCAAGTGGAAGACCCAGTACTATTATGGACTACTGGACTCTTTTAGAATATTTTGCTAAGTTCACACACCTATAATATTCAAATGACAGAACTAAACAAAAAAGGGGATACAGATGAATGTCCATTTTGTATCTGTGTATTCAAAGTGGTTAGGATAGATATATAGTTACA